CGACGACTCATAATACCAGTATACATTGTGGATCTTCAAGAGATAGTCCCGGGAGTTGGTAAAGACCAACACAACCAACCTAATAACAAGTTAATTTATCGTGGATTGTACGGTATTGATTTATCATTAGCGAAATGTTGGCAATATAATCATTCTTCCAAATTACTTATATGAATTTTAAGGAAACGTAAGACTTTTATCGTATACGATAATAGTTGATAGGCAATCACTACTGTTGTGTGCATATGACGCACTCTCGCTAATCATTCTTACGAGCAAAAGCATGCAACGTGAAGTAGAAACAAATAATAAATTATTGCTCCCTATTAATCTATAGTCTTTCACGTAAGCTACGGCTGCGTTAATTCTTCCTCTTTTTCCTCCTCTTCCTAGTTCATCAATTTAAGAAATCAGTATGACATATATGATCCAAAGCAGAGCGTGACGCTTACCAATAATCTCCGTTGTTCAATAAACCAATAAGGCAAGTTCTTAGGAAACGTTATCAGATCCATATCAAAGAGCTCTATAAACTGCTCGTTAACGTATCTCGCTTTGTTGCCGGCATAACTACGATACTTCCAATCCAACAATCGTGTGTTGGTTGGATAAGCACATGAGCATGATTCTTAAAGCGAATATCCATATTACCACTTTACCTCGACTACAATCGAACAGAAGTTCCAATTCTGTAATTTACGTAGACAGCCAACAAACATTCCCGTTTCATGGATGCCCGACCTTCGCCACAAATCATATTAATTATTGTTGTATCTAAAATACTACAATATCATAAGCTAGTCACTTACGTGCACATAACGAGAATAGGATGATTTGCAACATCCAAGACTAGCTCTAATCCATCTTTAATCAGTTCTTCGCTCACTGGTCGCCAACCTATATTGGGCTTCCAGACCTTCAGGCCTAAATGTACCTATAACCTGCATGCATTTATAAAGATGTAACAATTGTCAGGAAATGAATTACAGACAAAACCTACCAGTCGGATGTTATTCTCTTCCAGAAAATTGGTAACAGCTCGTGTGGTTACTTCAGGTGACAGTACGAGAACAGTCTTGAGTCGGAGAGACCTTATAAAGGTAAAATGAGAGGGACGAAGCATATCTGATCGGTATACTCCTTTCTCAACAGTCCCGAAGTGATGTGGTGGGGTCAACAACATATTTGGTCGATAGTAAAGGTTTGTATCTCAGAAAAACGATCAGCTTGCATTGATATTCAAGAATTCCCGTGATTCGAGTCACTTCTTTGAAGGGTTCGCTGGAAGATATTACGCATTTGAACAAAAATCCTTCAGATCTAAATTCTTCCAAGCACTTGACAAAGCAAGCTCTCTATTTATGTAATTTTCTGGTTCTTACATAGAATACCAATCATTACAGACAACTGGGCTCATTTTTTGAAACCAAACATTCGTGATCAGATTTATTAACTTTAATTCCAATTCTTTATAAGCGAGAGTTGTGAATTGATCCTTGATATAATTAAACTAGCTATTAGATGCTATATAGACTATTGCAAATAAAATAGCACATTAATAGTAACATTACAATATTACAATGTATTCAGTTTACAATATATCAATGATGTTATGTCCAACATAGTAACTATCTCTGCCAAGGCTTCCCGGTTTAATCTTTATGTAAACTGCATCATCAACTACCTGCAGATCGCAGTTACTTTCACAATTCGAATCATAGACCAAGTAAATCTTCCTTTCTCCAGTCACTTCAACGAAACCTTCTCGCACGAGATCATCATCCTTTGCAACCTTAATCACATTATCAACTAGAGCGCCATAGTATTGGTAAACGATTTCCCCCAAAGAGCGCTTCAGCCAACTGGACTCACTGTTGCTGTTTTTCTCTAAAGCAATGTTAAGCAATTCTTCAAAGTCGACAACAAACTCATACTCTTCACCGACTGCTTCCTTAAGCTTTTTCTTAAGGGCAGTAATCTTAAGTTCCCATTCATTGCGAATATTAAGCTTCGTCTCAAGTGGAAACGCTGATCCGGGAGCTTTAATCTTTTTTGAAATATCAGTTCCAATGTATACGTTATATCCATAGTTCTTGGGATCGACCTTGATATTAAGATCACCATTCACGATTTCGACATCATTGTTGCTCTCCAATTCCATATCGAGCACAAGATGAAATGTACGGGACGAAGTTGCTTCAAGGAACTCTTTGCGTGCCAAATCATCTGACGCAGTTTTCTCTATATTGGAAATAAGTGAATCAAAATAACTGCAGGTAATCGACCCTAAACTTCTCGTATACCAATCATGTTGACTTTTATTAGCTTTGATGATTTGCGAGTAAATTTCATCCAAGTCAATCTCAAATCCATAATCCTCGCCAAGCAATGATTTTAGCCGTTGCTTCAACTTTGGGATTTTCAGTTCCCATTCGTCACGGACATCCACCTTGGTTCTAAGTGGCAAGGCAGAATCTGGGTCCTTTACACGATCAATCAAATAATATCCGATGCTGGTGCTTGAACCAAAGTCCTTTGGTCTTGTCTTTATCCAGAAGGCATCATTTTTGACTTCAAGAAGTTCATTAGTCTCCAAATCGCTATCATAAACAAGGTGGATCTTTCTGGTCGCTGTTAGTTTAAGTAATTCGTTTCGAACTAATTCGTCCTTCTCTGCATATCTGTGAATGTAACCTTTCAGAGAATCGAAATATCCGTAAACAATATCCCCTAAACTGGAAGAATACCAATCCAGATAGTCAGGTCTCTCTTTAATAGCCTGAGCATAAATTTCGTCAAAGTTAACAACAAAATCATAGTCCTCGCCAAGAACCTTCTTTAAGGTTTTCTTAATATTTGGAATCTTCAATTCCCACCCATCCCGAATATTTATCTTCGTACGCAAGGGTATGGTTTCGTCGGCGACCTTCACGTAGTTAAGGATGTAATAGCCAACTGATGCGTTATAGCCAAGTTGACCTGGGCGTACCTTTATGTGAATTATTCCGTCGACAATTTCTAAATCATTGTCCCCATTGATCTCGCTATCATTGACCAAATGGATTTCATGCTTGTTTGTCACTTTAATAAAATCACTACGGACGAGATCGTCGTTCTCCGCGACACGCTTAATGTTGCTCACGATAGACTCGAAGTATTGATAAGCAATCTGGCCCATACTAGATTTGTACCATTGAGTCTGACTAGAGTTGGCTCTAACGGATTCTTCGTACAATGTAGCAAAATCAACATGAAATTCATAATCGCTACCTGTTAATTTATTCAGTGTTTTCTGCAATTCAGGGATTTTATTCTGGAACTCGTCACGGATATTTTTACGGGTTGCGAGAGAAAGACCGGTTGTCGTAATCATGATGAAAATTTAGGAAGCGCGTTAGGTCGTTAACTTTTACACGCTTGGTTTCGTAGTAAGTCGGCAATAACGTTTAATTGCCAGAGAACAAACATCATTCTTTGAGCGACGTGCGCGGTCTTTTTATTACTTGCATTTGTTAATGTTCACCAAGATTTGGATAACGTCACTAACGACCACTTGATAGGTTACTAATTAATAACCGTTTTCCTGATACGGATGTTTATTTTTTATGCGTACTACGACTAAATGTGGCTTGGTAACTGAATCGCTGTCTTTTTTTTTTGTTTTTTTGTTTTTAATTCTTTCAATCTGCTTTCTTCCTCAGTATCCAAGACGCTATGGCTGTTATTAGTCACCGAACATTTCGACAGTGTGAGACTTTATGTTACAACAATGATATGCTTCTTTTAACAGTATCTTGCGTTGTGTGTCACATTAGCATTTTTGTTTATGCATAATTTGTGTAACAGGACTAGCGATATTAATATTAATACGCAGTCAATCGGTTTCTCAGCCCCTTTAATTAATGGTAATAGTGATATCTATACTCTAAAATCACGTGATTTGGTTCAATTTTAATTGACCAATAATATCGTATCGTAATATGAGCTTTAAACTTTTTACACATATTAATATTATTTTTAAAATTTGACCGGTAATGAAATATTTCGGATGTCCCGTACCAATTTTATCCAATTATATGCTCACGTGGTTGTTTCAAACTTATTATAATGTAAAGCTTATGCCGTCAATTGTCCACCTGGACGGTCCCCTTGTCTTCCTCGTAATCCAACCTTAACTCGGCGGCATACAAACCGCTTAAATGACTGTCTCTGAACAATCTTCCAATTTTTTTATATGTGCGGGATCAGACTCGTTTTTTGCTTCCTTAAATGCATCTCTGGTACGACGCTTTACATAGTCACGAAAATTATAATTGGAGAAAGCTGTTGCCGGCTTTGAGAAGGGAGCGGTAAAGGTGAAGGATGTGTGTGCAGAAAAGGGGGAAGGACGTGCGTAAACTTTGCTTGTTGGAGGGAGCGTTTTAAGGTTACCACATACAATTCTATTATAATGTTATGAAAGCGCGCTATGGAGACGAAGTCGAGTTAGTATAGATTCCCTTATCTACATATCCAAACCGAGGATGTATACAAGGATATAGCTACAGTCTGAATATTTCGATTCAGCGAATACCCACCCGATCACGAGTTACCGTATTTCACGGACTAAAGTACCCCCTCTAGCATAGTACCATCCCACCATTTTGAAGTTCATGGAATGTAAAATACCATGGTACTATGATCGGGTTGTTACACGAAATACTTGTAAAGTACCATGGTACTGCGCTTATTATTAAACGTGCTTATTATATCACCATATATTCCTCTCTGAAACACCAAGAACGACGCTGTTTACATGTAATACGTGCCTTTCGAATTATTTTTCTCATATTAAAGCAAGCAAAATGTTGCAAATTTTATTCGTGTTTCGTAAGATGTAAGATCTTTTTAAGTACGTTACAACCAATAAAATATTTACATAGTCCTATCCCCTAGTATAGTACCACTATCCGATCAAAGTATCATGGTATAACAGGGTTTTGTAAAATACCACTGGTACTTTAGTCTATGAAATACGGTACTCTTTTAGCGTAAAGCTCACGTTGCGGTCCCTGGGGAGATTTATGAATATCGGAAGATGCGACTCTAGAAGTACCGAGATCTAATAGACAAAAATGAAAAGGACGAACATTTTAAAACGCAAATAAAAGTTATATAGGGGATGTACTGTACCATTAGATGATTTTTCATGGTCAGAAGATTCAGAAGATGACATGGTGTCAGAAGAAATATGTCTCCTGAATACGGAGTGAAGCGTAAGTTGCAGAATTTTTTTAGAGAGAAATTTGAGCGTTTGTTGGAGCTTTATTTTATTATAGCTTTCATTATCGCAGCGGAAGTCTTATAGTTAACCAGCTTCCGTATCGCTACGTTTGTATCGTTCTGCTCCCTTCTTCACGATAGTCGCTTCGGGAGACTTAGGAACGTTTTTGTATTTATTATCCTTTCATTCGAACTGATCGTTTTCAGTATTGAATCGAAGTTTGAGAGTTTTTTGGGGTTTATATCCTTACCTTTCGGATGATATCATAGTATTATCAATACGCAATTGTATCAATTGTATTACTGAAACCTATTGTGAGACTCCCGACCATCAAACCATTTATATGGTAAGACTATGGGGAATGTTCAGAAGTACGTGTATCAGAATGTCAAAATCATGTCCTCGAATAGGGGTTTCTGGTACATTTCCCCCGACAATGATGACAAGAATCAGACTTCGTTATCTAAAGGGTTAATGGTTGAATCTATTATGCCTAGTGAAACAATTGTCTTATGCACGCGTTTGTTACTATTAATATTCCGGCTGTCACGTATTTCGCTTTCAAGCAATTGATCAAAAGATGCATGACTTGTGATTGTTCTTTTATAGTCCGGTGGCTATTAAATGTAATACATCGTGATCTGATACTAAGAATGGACTCGCTCACAATGGCTCAGATGTAAGAGCGGAGAGGAAACATTTGTCGACATGACCTGATTGGTGACTTTCAGAAGTTTTTGTATCGTAATTGGCCATTTCTATATCCGTAATTTATTTTTCTTATTTGTTGATATTAATAACTTCAGTTTTTCAATGCAATCCGGGTGAAATTAGTAATCACGTGCATAATAAAAGCTATCACGCGGTCGGAATTATATTTATACAGCTACTGATATTGTTGTGCCACTTACAATTATGCAGCACCATAGAAAACCCATCTAAAAAAAACATGACAGATACACTTTATTTTTTTGTAAAATGAGGCCGGTTAAAGTAAATCGACAAGTAGTGGACGTTTAAAGGGAGGAATATGCCGGCCCCTAGACCATACATAACATGGCAGTTCCTTTCCGCTACTGTTCTTGTTTTCTTAAATTACGATCTCCTCCCTCTTCATCGACCCATTTCCTTATCTTGTCCAGTGTAGACATTTGTGGGTTTGTTTGGTGGCGATAAAAGCTAGCCAACGTGGCAGAGCTTAACTTGATATTCTTACCCAATACTTTATAAGTTTGAGTAAGAGATTGATTATCCTTCTTTACTCTTTGATTAATGAGTGTCTTGAAGTTGACCCGGAGCGTCTCAGCTCTTCGGCGTAACTGCTAAGCTTAGTTATGCTCATCTGAGGAGTTAGATTGTATTGATTTACGAAATTTGTAACAATTTTTGACATTGTGTTTGGGGGATGGTTGTGCGGATTATAACTATGGAAAATATTCTTTCAATTCAAAATATTTATCGCTCCGGGCTTGGTTGACATATGCATCAAAGTTAAATCATTGCGATAAAATTTTCTGCAATTATACTATTTTTAACTTTGATATTTGAGAGAATATATATGTATTCCTTTGTTCCGAAAATAAAAATACTGAATTAAAGACAAACATTTCTTATTTATTCGAGAAATGCGGTAAATTGGAATAATGTCACAATATTTTTATTTATTTTTATATACTAATTATAAAGGCACCCCTTTATCAAATTATCATACCCTTTTTATTAACAAGCATAATCTGATCGGTGTGTATCGCGTGTTATAATGCACGTGAAAAAAAATAAATAGCCATTCTCTTGGAGTTTTGCATTCTTTTATTGTCTACACCTACGATTGAACGCTAAAGGTGTATAGCCATTCTCTTGGAGTTTTGCGTTCTTTATTTGTTTACACCTACGATTGAACGCTAAAGGTGTTAGCCATTCTCTTGGGGCTTGCCCTATTACTATGTCCATGTTTGTAAAATTTACTACCGATATGAGACCCCCCAAAAAATATGACTATTATTGATACTTTGTTTTTTATAGATGTGGTATTCCCAGTGCATTTTTTAGTCGTTATTAAGATCTCATTATGGATGGACCACAGAATACTGCAATCAAAATATTATTTCGGCACAAAACGGAAGGTCACTTATTTGGGGGTGGATATTTTCTCAGATTCCAGTATATAACGAGAAAACGAAAAACCCAAAACTGATCCTGCTTCAACTCCAGTAGAAAGAGCGCTTAAAACCGAGGAACTCAAGAAACATTTTGCTAGTTATATATATAAATCTTCTATTACCATCGTTCGATAAGTGTCAAAGAGCAGAGCCAATCATTAACAAAAGGACGCGACTAATCTTGTCAATTCCAATATTTCGAAATAAAAAGTGTCTTGAAAAGCTGACCATATTTATAACGAGTGTAAGTTAATAGTCTTTCGGGGGTCCATGTTTGTAAAAATTTGTTAAATAGGTAAAAGAATGTTATAATAGTAATAGGTACACAAATATAACCGTATGATTAATTAATAGTGTCTACTAAACGAAAAAGTTCCTATACTAGTCTCAAGAGTAGGGTTAACGATTTTGATGATTTCCTGTCTTCAATTACTACCATCGAAACATCGCTGTGAAACAGTTCAAAATTCTATTAGCTGTTTATATTCGATCTGTCTGTGTTTCTTTCCAGCTTACTTAGGCCGAACAAATATTACAACTCAATCAGATGTTTACAAATAAAAACAAAGTCTATTGTATAATGAATTAAATTGTCCATCTTAATATTCTCTACAATCACAGACCCCATAACTTGACAATATTATCGTTTCCACCAGACGCTAATATTGATTCTTTATATTTTACACAATTTACTGGTGAAACGTGACCTGAATAGCTTGAGTGTTGTAAAGTCGAGCGATTATAAAGCTGTGGGGGCAAGGTTATTATAAGAGTCGGTGATAAGTTTAGGGAAAATAATAAGAAACATTCACACATGAAATCTGACTTATCCGAACCTTAATTTCATTAACTCCGCATGCACAGACTATACGCTGGGCGTCGAATTGTAAACCTGCTACAGCATTTTCATACGATAATGTGTCTAATATGGTTCCCGTTCGTAAATCCCATATCTAAGAATAACCCCCATAAATTTGGTTATCAATAACATAGCGATATAGTAGTAACACAGGAGCGATAATTAAAACACATTTATAATCGGGTAACTTCGAGTCAAACTACTAACCCTAATGCTCTTGTCCATACTTCCGCTGACAACGTGATATTCATCAAATTGTAGCGATGTGATCGGTCCTGTACGCCAAGGAAAGAAGAATGCAAACGTAAGTAATTCATTGCATCGGTGACATTATGAACAAATGATTAATCGTACCCGAATGGCCGAGCAATGTCCTATGCGTTTGTCCTGTCCTTACTATAGATACAGAAAAACATCGAGGTCAAGGAGTAGCAGTGAGGGAAACATAACATAAACTATAGTGATGAGCAATATCATAACAGACACATTGTCTTATTATATTATCTTCCACATATTTACTGTTAAAGGATACGGTCCCACATACGAATGGCACCATCTCTTGTCCCACTCGCTAATGCGTAGTTCCAGAACTGCAGTGCACCAATAAAGTCTCCCTCGTCAAGCAAATCAAACACGAAACTCTCAGCCAACGGTGCATGTGATAACTTGGCGCTTGACATTGCCCATAGCAAATCCATTGTCAGTATGCATTGTCCTGTTTCCAAATCCCATTGCTTCATTGTCTTATCTGCTGAGCCAGAGACCTAAATTAATTCGAGAATAAAGTTCACATAAATAACCATCCAAGTTGTATTGATTGTCAATATTTCAGATATACATAAACCGTACCAGCCACTGGTCCTCATGATAAAGACAAGTGATTTCCCCAGAATGTCCTTCCAATGTAGCTACCCACACAGTCTCACCAATATTTTCCAACGTATAATCATCAGTCATGTCGAAACTGCTCTTTGTGGATGAGGATATTGATTTGTAATGACAATGTGGCAGAACAGCTAACATGTCCGATTGGGGCAAAAGCGAAAGATTCCATTGGCGGATTGATTTGTCCTTGGAACCAGTGATAAGACGGTTATCGTGAATTTGCATACAAGTTACAATATCTGAAAATTTAAGTGGCAAAAACATGTGAATAGATATGCTTTCAAATAACATAATGTCAGAGAGGTTATTAGGGTCGTACCTTCATGTCCATCGAGAAGCCCGACACATCTATTGGTAGTCAAGTTCCACACTCGTACAGTATTATCCAGCGATGACGACACTAAGAAGCCCCCAGGCCTATCAAAGTCAACACATTTTATTACATCTTCATGACCTTCTAGCGTCTATTGTTTATTAATAGGAATAAAATTAGTGACCAAGATATACTTTACCAAGAAATATATACTCCAACTTACTCCAAAGCAAAAGCCAGACTCGTGTCGTTTTGCTCGTCGTTCTAATTAAAACCAAGCGTCAATCGCATATTAACAATAAATCCAGTACGAGCGTTTATAAGATAACTTCCGACTATACATATATACAAATTAGACTCACTACTATGCTTTAGTCGTCCTTTCTCATCTGTTCCAATCCTCTCCACGTGAACAAAGCTTGAAATCTTATAATTCAATTCCTCAACTGTAAGGGGCATACGTAGGTCAGTATATCTACAATTATTGCGGGTTGTGTAAGGTTCACCCATTAAGACATCACTTTACCTTGATAAGTTAGTTCGCTCTTCCGCACTTCAAATGTAAGCAATTGAGATGATAGGCTTTCTTTTTTTGCTAGTAACCGTTCGATTTCTTTATCAATTTTCTCTATTTCTGCTATCGTGTCTAACTGCACAATTGAGAGTGGTTTTGTGAATGACAGTAGGAGAATGTCGAAAGCCATGTACTTAGAAATAAAATTTTACCTCCTGAGCGTTAAGACGGTCGTTTTCTCTGACGACACGGTCCCGATCGGTAATGAGTTGGTTGAGTGGTTTTGATTCGCCATCTATCGAAGCTAATAAATTTGTAAAGTGGCAATGAGATTTGAAACGGAGAATTACCTAATTGAATAGCGATGGTGTTTTCAGCAGTGTTTTGTTTGACATGCTATAAAGATAAATACAACATACCAGTATCCGATGATCCATCATGGCCATCAAACACACCATTTAACACTCCTCTTGTTTTCTTCTTTTTCTGCTTAGTGACAGACTTTCTAAAGCTATCATACTCTGGATATGAAGCTTTGAATCCTTCCAGCAATGATAACGGAGCCTCTGATTCCGGCATTTCCGTATTCAATAAACTCAATCTCTTCTGTGACCCATCCTCAGATGGTAGAGGTGATTGATTTGATCCATCTTGCACCTGCCTATGCTTTCCAGTAATGTACTGTTGTAGTCGACGTTGGTCCATAATGGCCGGTGCAAGATCTGTTATAATGCCCATTGTATCACCTTTAGCCGCCCGAGTTGCTAGTGGAGAAAATACCACAGACGCTGTAGTGGCAACAGTGTTTGAGGCCAACTGAAGAGCAGTTGGTATTAGATCGTTCAAGGCAAGGGAAGATCGACCAAAAGTCGAAGAAGACGAGAGGCGCGATCCCCCAGCACTGTTGCTAGTGCTCATGGTGTTTATGAGGATGGTAGTAGAAGTGATCGTGAGTTAGGCGGTCGTTGTAACGTATTGCTGGATCCGCGCAATTTTGAACCTTGTGATAATTGTTAAGAAATGCAAGTGACTAACTCTGTATGGAGGAAAAAATGATGAAAAAGTGTTTGCTTTGCGTATATGGCAGCGACCTGCAGCTAGGTGACATTAAACTTAGTTTGTTTGTGACAACAGAATTCGGCGATGATTAGTGTCACAAAATTTTAGAGATTAAATTTGTAGAATGTTATCTTTGTCAATAGAGATGGAGCAGCAGGCTTTGTAAACTTTTATTTTATGGAGTTAGAGCTCTTACTACACCCACTTTTTCATGCAAACAATGAGGGCAAGACAATAGGCGTTCAATTCTTCTGGAAGCTCAAGAATGTTAATTCGCGATTTGTAATTCGAAAAAAAGGCGATTATCTTCCCTTATCATGTGACACAGTGCTAAAAATCATGTGATTCACAGCTAAAAAGCCAATTTATTAAGCTAATCGAAAATTAATATGCTATTTAGTTTTTGTTGTCTGTTCATATTAGACACAAAGCATTTTCAAAAACACACTAATACAATTATTGAACATGCATACTGATGTGGCACAACTGTACATTATTTGAAACGCTTTCATATGTAAAAACAATCTCAATAAAGTACTTTGGAATCATTATTTTATTATATGATTTATTTCTACCTCCTTCATACATACACTTTACCATTTGCATTGAAAAAAGTAACAAAAAAGCTAGGCGATGCTATTATAAATGCTATGTTACAGGCTAATAAAATAAAACAAAATACCTTTAATTGGCTGATTCTTCACTATATGCATGACTTTTTTTAGCTCTCGCCAGGAATAATGTGAGGATCAAAATTCTTCTTTTCTTAACAGATAGTATTAGATGGCTATGTGTAAGTTTCCGACGTTCCAATCGAATACAAATGCCTGCAGTACAATCGATATCACATTCCCGAGGTGAATACTGACGTTTTTTTATACAATTTCCTTGTTTTTTTTTTCTTAACTTGATAGCTATGGATACAACCCTCGTTTGCGGCATTGTAGTCTTTGAATAAGATTCAAATGCTGCCAACCAATCTAATGCTTCTTCTTTGTTACATACATACATTTACGAACGCATCTAACTCGAAATTTTCAACTTCAACGTTCGGTATGGTAATTGTGATAGAATATCGAATTTTTGAATTAAATAAGCATAATCACGAGGAAGAACCGGGTTTAAAACATCTGGTAAAAGATTCCAGGAAAAAATCTATAAAATAATTAATAAGTAAATACTATTAATGAACAAATAACACGTATAATGAAACATTAAAATTTTTTGCATAAATACAAAAATAAAAAACTTCTCTAATAGCAGATAACTTATATTATTGATGAACTATGTGGAAATTATCATAAACTAAATAACAATAAAACTAACTAGCGACATTAATCGATAAACTTTAACAATAAAAACTTAAATTTTCTCAAATTAAGTTTACCCGAACAGGTGCATAATTGACAAACCTGTCGAGTATTGTTCCGTATTATCGACTTCATACTGTTTCACAAATCACAAGTTGTGTAACTTTTATAAACTTTAATTTTAAAAAGAGTTTTCGTATGATGAAAGTGAAAAGAGATATTTGCTTCGACTAAACAAAGGAGATATTATTATTATGCTTATTTAAGCTACGAACTGTCATTGGTTGTTAATGAGGCAGAGTCAGTCAGATCAATTGACAGTTGTGACACACAACAAGTCTCTGTGACGTCTAGCGTGACTTACGTTGCTTGCGAATCTTGGTTCAAGAAGCCTACTTTGATACCGCAATGTCGGCCCATAATAACAAAGAAAGAGATGTATGAGTAACCATATTATCATACTCAAGAACCAATGAAGAACGTTCACAGCAGGCGCGTCTACCGATGTCAAGGCCGGGGTCCTGACGGGTAAACTTCGCAAACTGTGGCCACGATGCGCTTTTAATTCAGTAGTCCTTGTATCCTATTTACCACAGCCCGAGCGTTATAAGCTACAGCTGGCGTTTTGGAACGGATTACCGAATGTTCACAGCAAGTAAATCATTTACGATCAGGCCCCCGAGCCACAAAGTATTTTTAAGTGTATCCTATTCACCACAAAACTGAAGTAAGCACAGCTTTTTTTTCGGTAACAGGGTTTTGATTAATTTACACCCTATGTGCTTTCAAAACCCTCCGATATACTCCTAATGGAAGCGTACCTTCAGATACACATACTAAGTAATAACCCGAAAGATAAACAATCTACAGGCGTGGCCCGATGCGCTTTCGAGTAATCCGATTTTTAACCTAGCGGCAGCGTACTGATACAAATCACTCAACAGATACCCAATAAGAGTTACCTTGTCTTCAAGCTGCTATGGTGAACCGTCGTATGCGCAATATTGTGTGGCGGCAAATGGGAGTAGCGTTTGGATATATACGTGTTTATATGAGTATTGGTTACGTGGTTGATAAACTGTGTCTTGTTCGTGAGTTGTAGCAAAGTGTCATATGTGCGTAATATGGAGTAGCGGTTGTTTTGAGGCGATACATGTGCAAAAGAAGAGAAGCGTCTGGGTATATATATGTGTGTGTATGAGTAGACGCGTGTTCGCGTGTTAGATACGGAAGATGACGTATATTGGTACTACTTGATATAACCTTATAAGTATAAATGTCGTTATCTATGCAATAATAGCGACCAATAGTAAAGCATAAACGGATATCGATATATTGTGTAACACATATTACATCGTATTGCAACTGTCACGATTGTTTCCGTATATAAGAACAATAACACACACAGTAAAATATTTTTCACTGGTTAAAAAGTCCGATAAGCCACGCAATTAAACTAATCTCTATGATAGTGATGATATCGACGCGAAGAATCCCAAGTTCGGTTAAACACCCTGCGGGGAGGGTTAAAACAGTTCTTTTTTGCAAGCAATACGATATCAACGTGATTTGTGTAGAGCACTGACAGCGTGATTTTAGCCTCGATAAGTCGACCAAAGATATCTGCTCTCCGATGGCCGACTTATCGAGAATTACGTGCTCATATATAAATAAATCGTTGTGTTTGTTAGTTATACAGTTAACTCTGCAAACTAACTTGCCTTAGAGAATTGATTTGCTTTTTTCTTATTAAATCTTTCACACCAGACTGTACATAATTCAATTACTTTCTAATGCTGTTTTATTTGAAACCGATAGGCATTTATCTTTATTATCTTCTCCGGTCTCAATTGTATTATGCAGAGACGTATTATGACAGAAGTTTAATTTGACGTTTAAAATACAGTTTATATTGATGTTTATATGAGTAAGGTATACTTATGGTCCGGTGCAAAAAGGTAGGTACCTCAGATTATTGCAAATAAAATTTTTAAGAAATTTTTTTCTAAAATCTGATTTTACCAATAGTTTTTTTAAGTTATCGGAAACATTTTGACATTAAAAATTTACTCAATGGATCCCATTTTATCTTCAGAAAAGGATTCGTCATCAGGTTCCTCATTAGATAAATATACATACTAAAACAACACCCTGATGAGGAACCCAAGTGTTAGGTAAAGTGTGATAAAGATAGCAGTATGCTTCATCTAAAATCACTTCAGGTCGATTTGGAATATCATTGTTTCTCTGTAAATTTGGTAAGCGACTGCGAATGTATTGGTACCAAAATGATACGTTGTTTGGGGATTCATGTAAAATATCCTACGTTCGCCGTGGCCGTAATAGTAACCTAATGTGTGCAATAAACAAAAAAGTTTCCATTTAGAAAGCGTAAACCCATTCTCAGCAAAGAATTGGTGTTAGAACAGGCGTTCCAGCTTTGTTTGCATAGGTAAATTTTTCACGTAAAGGTGTAATAATATCAGGGATCGGCTGCAATCGCAGCCGTCCTATATTTTTTTGCTCTGCAAATGAGCCATTATTCTATTTATGAATAACCCGTCCAACTGTACTTTCTGAAAAACCCAGAACATGCTTGCGTAGTGTGAACTTTTGACGTTTTTTAGATCAGGAATTCTCACCTAAAAAGTATTTGTGAGCGTTTAAAATCGTTATTTTTTTGTTTTCAGTTAGAGGAGCACTTTTCTGGCTCGTGAATAGAGACATTTTTAAACAAATTGAGTGATGTACTATATAAAGATGGTTATTCACTTGTCTAAAATTGAAAAAAAAGTTATGGTTATTAAAGTCGCACACAACTTTAATTAGACGACGTGATAGCGATCAATTTCGAGGCATTTATCTTTTTGCATCGGACCATATTAAGAATAAAATCTGATTGATAGTGAAATCAACGAGATATGATATTCAAGTTGAAAATTTTTATAAGGGGACAAAACCAATGTTAGTAATATAAAAGTATTGATATTAGCGGGGTTAATATTACAGTACTAGAGATATTTTATTGTAAGATTCTATTGACATATTTGATCCTACTGACATTTAGACCTATCGCGATTTGCATAGATTTATCGAGAATTTTTAAAATTTTGGCCGAGTTGAGCCAAAACCGGCTATGTATTGAAGGTTGGTTTAATAACGCTTTAGAAAGTATAGTAATAGCTTTCACAAATAATTCCTCTATTGTAACTCTATATCGGTTTTCGAAATCTACGCGCGGAAAACCGATAGAAAAGGCCGGAAAACATTACTATCGATTTTTACTGACAATACACAAAACCTGTCTAATACAGTCATACCTCAGTTATATCCCAACCTCAGTTATATCCCAGCTGCAACGCAGTTGTATCCCACTCAGATATATCCCTATCCCCAACTTACACAATCCCAATTTCCTAAATTTATAGTTATCTAACCTACACAAAAAATCATGCCATTTCTATATATATATTTGTGCGGGATAAGTCTTCATTTGGTTAGGCGACGACGCAATAAAATCGGGCCATAAATAAAATCCATGCCATAAGATCGGGCCACAAATAAAAGCGGGTCATAAAATCAGGCGATAGGTCGTAAAATCAGGTCATAAAATCAGGTCATAAAATCAGATCATAAAATCAGGCGATAAATAAATTAGACCATAAAAATTAGGCGATATAATAAATTAGAATCTAAATTATGCTATACATTATATATAATTGAGCGCTTAGATGAAACAGTAGAAAGGTCAAACGACAGACGTCACTAATGGAATTTATCAATAAAATTAAACCCAATATTTTCTATTGAAATGCTATTACTATACCTCAGTTGTATCCCAATGTCTACACCATGCGGTCGCTATGTGTTACCTGACGTTATTTACCGATATAGTTAGGGTTCGTTAACATTCATTTCTATTCAGGGTTGTAATATTTAGTGGTACTACACGACGCATATGACAAATAATATTAGGATCGAGAGAAATCCCCGGTAACTCGTTACCCTTACGTAAAAAAAAATTTCATTTTCAAGAAATTTCGACTCTTTTTATCCTCCGCAACCTTGTTTGTGGTTACGGTTTTTTCACACACAATAAGACCACACGTATAATACTCGTTCTTGTCAGTCGGCAACCATGGACATAGTTCTCACATATGCAGACGAATACCTTTTTGACGATCTATACGCGCACGTATTTCCTCGCTTTGTTAATGTCTCCCATCCCTATTTTCCCTCTCTTTCAACAATTTCCTTTCTTTCACGCGATAACGTTTATCGTCAGTACACTACTCTCTTTATTATAACCATTGCCTTCATTACAACTTTCTACTTTTCGCTATCTGGCGTCTCGTATTACTTGGTATTTAACCATGACTTGATGAAACATCCGAAATTCCTCAAGAACCAAATACGTAAAGAGATGTTCCTGTCCGTCGGTGGATTTCCTATTACTACTGCAGTCACCATACCCTGGTTTATTGGAGAAGTGAAAGGGTATTCTAGGTTATATGATGACGTGGAAAAGTATGGGTGGTGGTATTTGATAGCAAGCGTGCCGATGTTCTTGCTCTTTACCGACTTTTGTATTTATTGGATTCACCGATGGTTGCATCATCCATTGATTTATAAGCATTTGCACAAGGTGAGCATAATCGGGTGTGAAAGGTGTGGGCGAAGAATAGAATGCTGAAAAGAGATGAAGTTAGGCTGTGGTCAAAAGAGATAGTTGAATAGGTCATTATGCACACTGTTACTAATTACGTCGTCGTTTTGTCTCATTCCAACAGCCACATCATAGATGGATCGGTAAAAATGATATATGAATTACTTGCTCTGTTCTATTATTTCCGGAAAAAAACCCAGACAAACCATTCATAACCCTTCTCTTTTATTGACGACATTAGTCCCAACCCCATTCTCATCCCATGCATTTCACCCGCTTGACGGATACCTCCAATCTGTTCCGTATCATCTCTTTGTGTTTTTATTTCCTCTCCAGAAATATGTGTATCTCGGACTATTTGTGTTTGTTAACGTTTGGACTATCCTAATACATGATGGTAATTTCTTATTACTTACCGAAATCCATTATTCCTAATTATCAAGCTGTTTCTCACGTACAAAATTCCCCGTATATTCGTAGGCGCCTACTTAACAGCGAACCCGTTAATAAACGGGGCGGCTCATCATACTTTACACCATCTCTACTTTAATTACAACTACGGACAGTATTTCACGTTATGGGATAGAGTGGGTGGTACTCACAGACTTCCAGGAGACGAACAGTATAAATTAAAGACAGACAATATGATCTGGGAGAAGCAAGCGCGAGAGGTAGATGAATTTGATGAGAACGGCAAGGAAAAGGTTAAAACCAATTAGAGGTGGACGAATCTGGATGACGGAGTCATGAAGGATCGAAAACATACTTAGAAATAGTAAATGTAATTTTAGTCTATTTATTTTTGAAAAGTAAGAAACATTTAACAGCTCGTTAGCATACAAGATTGAGGTGGGACTTCCGATGTCGGATGCACGATACCACTGCAACTAATTTGTCATTTTAATGAACCTGTTCCTCAGTCCCAAGAACTTTGTAATAGAACTCCAGCTTTTGAAATTCGCGTGATAACTTGAATTGCGGATCTGTTCGATAAGTGCGGGAATTTGATTACCTCAGTAATGTTCTTTGTTGGCGACAACTACTATACACGCTAGCTAGAGGTAAAGGTCCGCAAGACAAGGCCAATATTTGGTGCCCACAATACTCAGACATTCTAATCTCTTCAGAGGGTTTTAAGGAATCATAGAGTTACCGCTATGTTCATATATCCTTCTTTTGATTCTGCTAGAGGTCCTGATTCACTGGTCTGCAAGCTATTGCTGCACAGTAAGTGAATAACAGAAATTAGGCCAACCGAAATTAGTAAGCACAGCCTCACAGAGAACCAAAGTCGTTACGTCACCTTCGCACGTAATTAGGAAAAGTCCATTCTGTGTAAATGTAAAATACTCGGCTCACAATCTTTTAACTTGCAAATTGTCATTGCTCTAGGTCGTGGACTTGAACATGTTTGTTGGAATTGATTCAATATTAAGCATTAAGATGATGGGTCATGGATCAAATTCAAGCCCTCAACACGAACCACCCAAGGTGGATCAGTCTACAGTAGTTGACCATTAATAATTATTATCCCATTAATTGTAAAATAAAACGTCTATTAGCTTTACGATTGAAACTCACACGCGAGGGGCCAAATGAGTGAATATAAAGACTTCTCAACAGACCAATCGAAGCTATCGACTTTTCTAAATAAAATAGTCTTTCGATATCCGGATTGTATTGATCGTAATTCTAACATCATATCATATAATCTTCTTTTGTAAGCTGCTAACGGCAGGACTATCACTTGGAAACCCCACGACTACTGGACCAAGCCTGTAAATACAGCTACGCCTTAATTGACACGAACATGTTTGGAGCTAAATTTGAAAACTATCATCCCCAGGCCAATTTGGACACCAAACGTTTCCAGGCGACCGAACGTCGACATCACATTTCCCTTAATGAACTTTTTTATTAAAAGACCTCTGATGATTAACGTGGCTTGCTACGTCCACGAACTCCACGTCCACGTCCTCTGCCTCGTCCGCGACCAACACCAGCAGCTTGAAAAATTAAAAATGCAAATGGTGAGAAAATTCTGACCTGTCCGATGCCTATATATGCCTCCATAGTATCGCCCACTCCCAATAACCGCCACCCAACCGTACTCATAATCCTATCTTGTTTGCTATCATACGAAACATCTTGCATCACGTTCCTTCCCCACTTACGTTCTTTCTTTTTAGCCTTGGCTTTTGGTGTATCATCAATCAACAAGGTATCCAGTGGGAGTGAATCAGGTAAGATGTAATATCTGATATTATTACCACGGATGCTGAGTGAATCCAAGTGGACTGGATCTTTGTTCTTCACCGTCATTTTTACGAGTTTAAGATGTGTGTTCATTGACATGTCTACACCTAATAGCGATTGATTTACCGGGCAAGATGGTAGAATAGGAGAAAACAAAGAGAGTGACGCATTGTAGAGAGACAAATTGGTTAGATTACTGTTGATGTAAACAATCAATCGTTCGGAATGTTATATGGTGTGAAACTATTGTTAAATTTGTCGACTATTAAACATCCAAAGAAGACTGTCTCATTTGATCAGTAATGGTTATCAAACCTGTAACAGTTCCGTGGACTATAGTTCCATTTTTGAGTTCTATGGTTACCGTTTCACTATTTAGTTTCATTAAAAATCTGTACACATTACAGCATACAATGAGCAATTAGAACAACGAATAGACAAAGCAACTACACGAGATCGCGCCGCAGAACTGGAAATTTTGGTTTTTTTTTTTTTTTTTTTTTTCACACTCGGGATATGCTTACTTGCCTTACTAATTTCATTTTGAATGGTTAGTCTTGATTAAGGAGTTTAGACTCTTAACGTCGTGCTTCTATGCGACTATAGTCTCTTTTACAGGATGTGGGGCCGAACAAAATTAGGTTGATCGTAAAATTTCGAAGTGATCCGTTTTTGCACAATGTGAATGTGGTACAGACTTAGATTAATGGGCTAGTCTATTGACTATGACTGTTTCTTTCAGGATTTAAAAATGAAAATATTTGTCGAATATCATTCTTTAATCGGATCCATCAAGTTTGACAGTGAGTTTTAATCACAGATTTAACAAAGTATATTAATTATAATATATAATATTCAATTAATCGATTGACCGATCTAGAGTACTAGATTCTGAATAGCGTTGTATGTTTAAAAGGCACGAAATAAAGTAAAATAGAAAATGCCTGAATCATTACGAGTGGGCAGTAGCAGATAGTATTACTCCGTGGCCAGATTCGATACAAGTACGCGGAAATAAAACTAATTAGAGTTGTTCTACCTTAACGGATGGTCTATTAGTCAATAATACCAGAACTGGCTGGAGGCAGCAGGATAAAATCGAGTGTGATGCAATATATTGACAGAGCAATGTCGGTTAAAAAATTTCTGCAATTTCTGACGGTCAAATTTTATGACCGGGAAAAATGTTTAAATAATTAAAGACGGATCCGTCGCGTAGTTCCACCGTTTCCCACGCGCTTTTATTGAGGCTATGATCGTGATATTCTAATATGTAGCGAAAAGAGAGTATTCTTAGTAAGCGACCAATAGTCAAGAGATAGAAAAAAGGGGGTTTACACAAGCACATACTTTCTCCTCTTGCCTCGGGGATTTTCTAGTTCCTTTACTCGTGCCGTCTCTCGGTTTTTGTCTGCATATTTATATTCTGCCATCTGTGATAATAGTCATCAGTATTAAGACAGTTCGAATTCAAGCTAAATGAGGAAATACATATATAAACCTACCTCTATTGGAACTTTGTCAAACTCAATATTGCTCCCTTTCAGTTCAGGCATCTTTGGCAACTGGAATGGGTGTTAGAATACAGCTAATATTATTAACATACGACCGTAACTGCTGACTACCGCCAAAGCACAAAACATACCTGTAACAATGCAAAACCCTTGGCAATTTTTCCCAGATCAAGATCCTTCATCCTAAATATATAATTTGCTTCATGCTTAGAGTACGCTCTCACATACGAGACAAAAGCCCTTGTGCCCTTAAATCATTGAGAAAGCAACCAATCCGTTAATGTATCAATTAAATATGAGAATCTCAATAAACCGCTGTTTATCATTTACCTTATCATGATAGTCTCTATCGGACAATATTATCTTCCTAACTTGTTCAATTAGTCTCTCGTTGTCTGTATCTTCTTTGGGAACTGTATCATCCAAATCCTCATCCAATTTATATACGGCACCATCGGGTAGCAAGTATGGTTGTCTCTGAAGAGGAATTTTGCGAATTTTCAAAAATTCTGCCGATGCATGTACGAAATTTTTATTTGTTTCCTCACGCATCACATATTGCGACATTATACCAACAGATTTGTACTTACCTACATATACCTCTTCCCTTCCTGTCGTTAGAAAAACTATCGCTTTTCCACCTCTGCCTGCCCTTGCTGTCCGGCCACAACGGTGAGAGAAAACTTTCGGGTCTTGTGGAGGATCGTATTGTATTACAAAATCAACATCAGGAACATCCAGTCCCCGTGCAGCCACGTCTGTACATAATAAAATGGCCTTTGAGGTAGGCGGAAGATTTACAAATGTGTTGTAGTTGGCTAGGAAAAAGATAATATCTTGTCAATAAAATGAACCAACAAAGGTAGAAAGACAAAATGTGATGACATTGGGTTTACCAATCCGCTTTTTACTCTTCATCTGTCCATGTAGTGAATTTATCTTGAAATTTTTTAGCTGAGGCAAGCCTTTAAATAGCTGAGTAGAAAATCGAAAATTTTAATATCAATTTACTAGCATGTCATTGCAATGATTACTCTTGTATGTTACCTTGAAGAAATAGTCAACGCATGCACATGTGGCAAAATATATTATAAACTTTGTCACAGTTTCCCTCTTCAATAATCGCAACAACTGGGATAGCTTTTGATGGGGTTCGCACAAGATGTATCCAATGGATAGCCTTTTAAGAGAGAAACATATTGGTTAATGATTGGAAATCAACGCACTATATGACTTTAGAAAAGAAAATACATACGTAATTGGCGTCCGTTGTTCGTCTTTTGAGGAATTGTTTTCTATTTTAGCCTGAAGATGTACAGGATTTCTTAAACCAGCTCTCACAATTTCCGTCAACGCATCAGTCATTGTGGCAGAAAACAAACCCGTGCGCCTTTGTTTTGGAAGATGAGCCAGAATATTACTCAGGGATTGAGTAAATCCCATGTCCAACAGTCTATCGGCCTCATCTAAAACCAACACTTCCATCTCTTTCGCGTTAATTATCCCGCTTGAGGATCCGCGCCCAACCACAAGATCTTCCAAGCGTCCGGGAGTTCCGACAACAATGTCTGGTCGCAACTCTTTATATCGTTTAATGTCATCTTGCAGAGCCGACGTGCCACCGATAAATAAAGCATGTTTTAGGACGATGGCACCATCTCTTAGGAAGAGATCAATAACAGATGATATTTGTTGTGCAAGTTCTCTAGTATTGATGTAATAATGTCAGCCGAATATAACATGATGTGCAAGTCTTCCTAGCAAATGTTATCAAATAACCTTGTCGGAGAGATAATCAGAGCTCCAATTGAGTGTTTTTGTGATGTTTCACGGCGCATCAACTTTTCGATAATAGGAATAACAAACGCTAGAGTCTTCCCGGAACCGGTAACGGCCTAAATTCCATGAGCAGAATGTGTAAGGCTAATCGTTTTATTTAGAGCATTTTATGTATCATTTTTTACCTCAACAACGACATCTTTATTTTGCATAAATAAAGGAATTACTCCAGCCTGAACAGGAGTCATGCATTCGAACCCCATTACGTCTAGAACATCCAAACTGTTGCCTGTTAGCATAGACTGAATACATTACTTGAGGCCGGGAGTTATGACGGAAACTATGAGATACGAACATTTGTGGACTGAGTTTAGGTTCTAAAGTATTCCACGAGCCTGCCATTATTTTTTGCGACGTTAAAAATTTTATTGTGGTTGAAGTTTTTTTTGCCGATCACTTTAAGGCGGCAAACCTTTTTTAAAGTGGAGAAATTTTACTAAAAAGTTTACATATGATTTTGTCAAGGAAGCGAAAAAATGGCGCCATTTTCTTATAGTGCAGCTTTTGGAGTATGTATTAATATAGTCTTTATGAGCATAGCTTGTTTTGTTCAAAAGCCTTAGCGATTTGAAGTTTGTTCTATCGAAAGTGATTGGTAAATCAATACGTAAAAATTAGATATAGATAGCTTTTACTTTATTGATTAGTAGACATCGTAACTTTACAATAATACATAATTTATGGTATTAATATTCACAAATACTGTTCTTTAAACTTGTAATCTAAACTCCGCTGCATCCTCTCCGAAACTTTCTAGTTCATCTTCCTTTCCCTCACTCTCTTCTCTAATTTCTCTACGAACTTCCTTCGGCATTTCTCCAGCAATTGGTTTCTCGCCGATGGAACAGGTTAGCTGCATTCGGGCCTCTTGTAATGCGGTTTTCGCGCAATCCGCCATATCTGTTATCATCTGTATGTTTTTTGTTTATTATTGTGGGAAGCATCTTTTCGAGCGATTTTATTCTAGCCCGCGCTTGCTGCATCTTATGTAAATCGGTCAGACGGCTAACACGGTAAAACCGACTGCAACAATAGGCCAAATTTTGTATTTTACAAAATCATGAACGAGCGGGAAATTGTGAATACTGGAAGCATCGTCAGATTTCGCAAAGGCAAGCCAAGTTAACTCGGTTTCGAAAGATTCTTCGATGCAACTGCTCGAGCAAATTCTGGTCCGTAATCTCCTCGTAAGGCCGTCTATGCTGTGCTTCAGCGTGACCCTGTTTGGCTGCTTGTAGTTTGGTGTTCGACTACCTCGTTTTGCTCGTTAGAACACTCCCATTTCCAAACTGGCCGTGTGTGTGTGTTCGGTCGGTCGTGTGTGTTCGGTCAAGTGAGTGTTTGAGTGAGGGAGCGTTTGAGGGAAGCAGGAGTGAATATAATCGTTCGAGTGAGGTGTAAGGGATTCATGTGTTCTAATGAAAAGGCCTGCAGACTTTAGTCTAGCAAAAGGCATACTTTTTTTAAGCGATAGGTAGCAATAGTTGAGTTAATAGTTGGGTTATATCGGTTGAACTATATCGGTTGTGTCAATCAATAATTCCGACATTTATATGGTCGTACAGCATATAACACGAATGGACTAATTTGGACTAGTGTATAAGTGTCGCGGAATTATTGACAACAAAAAGAGAACTGTCATATTGATATTTGTGCGTATGAGACATAACAATACAACAACGAAATTACAAAAGATTAAATTATTATTTGTTTATTATATATTATTTGATGTTGGGCCAGTATATATACCAATTCTCTAGTTCATCGATGCCGGGAATTTTTTTAAGATAAAAACAGCAAAACAGTTCTAATTATCAAGAAGACTTTCGTTTGAATTAAATGCCAATAATCATTTCTTACTCTACACCAGCGGGAACTTCCTCACCAGGCCGCCTCCCAATATTCTTATTTTTCCCAAGCAAGAAAGCAGACAGGAAACACAGACCACCCATCGGAATTATACACGTGAATGCTAGCTGTAATGCTTGGACATAGGCATTTATAATCTGACCCTGAATTATTGGTGGAAGACTGCCGATAATCTGCGGGTTCTTCTTAAGAACGTCGAAAGTGATATTTATCCCTAGTATGTCGATTTGATGCCGAAGTTCATTATTGAAGATTGTGCCTACGATGGCAACACCGAACACAAATCCAACTGAATAATGCAAAGTGGTGCAAAAGACTCAATTTAGCCAACAATACGATAACACTTGCAATTCTCGAAAACTCTCTTTCGCTTCTAAACATTTCAATCATACGCGCACAACACGATACTTACTCGTCCTAAAGAATACCAGGACCGCAGAAATAATAGCAATGTCCGAATATACGACCGAAGCTTGTCCAATCAACAACGTCGTCTGCATGATCAGCCCAACTCCAATTCCCAGAATGAACAAATACCCAATCTGCTTTCCACGATTTGTGTCAATGTCAAATGTAGACGTCAAACCCGATCCCACAACGATAAGTGCACCACCAACGATACAGAATATTTGTTTCCTTATGTTCGGTGCTCTTGACATGGCTTGTCCCGATACAATTGACGCAATAACAACACCAAGAATGAATGGTATCAACTCTAATCCGGCAGTGGTTGCCGAAGCACCGTGGATGACTTGGAAATATATGGGAACATAATAGATGGCGCCTAAGAATGCCATGCCCTGGAATAAATTTACCAAAATACATCCTAACAAGATTCGGTCTCTAAACAGTCGAAGCGGAACGATAGGCTCCACGGCTACGTATCCCTCGACAACCGCGAACACTATGTACAAGACACCACCGACGACGAGAAGGGAGATAATTATGGGATCATTCCAAGCGTATTGATCGCCGCCCCAGTTTAAGGGAAGTAGTAAAGCGACCGTAGCGGATACTAAACAAAGTGTACCCCACCAGTCGATACGACCAAGTTTTTTCAATAACGACCCTCGTGGTCGGGGAAGGTGTAATAGTATAATTATAACAGCGAGGGTTATCGCACCGAACGGTAAATTAATTAGGAACGACCATCTGACCAAGTTACGATTGAAAATTTAGAGTTAGCGTTATATCAATATCAAGAAACTTTTTCTCTTTCGTATTTTCTTAGATTACTGTCAATCCATACCTCCAAGTTACGTGATCAGTAAAAGCCCCACCCAACAGAGGACCAACGACTGATGCAATTCCAAACACTGCCCCAATAAGTCCTTGGTATTTTCCTCTTTCTTCGAGACTAACAATGTCTGCAATTATAATAATTACCAAACCTATAATACCACCACCACCAATTCCTGCTATAGCTCGGAATATTATCAGCGTCGTCTAATTTTGAGAGCAGCGAGATGAGCAATGAAGTAAAGATGAAAACGAAAAAGTCAAATTACATGCCTCCTCCCACCCCTTTATTACCATATTTGGTGCTAAGCCACATAACAAACTGCCCAATTCGAATACCAAAATGGCAAATAAAAACGTTATCTTCCTTCCAAATATGTCGGAAAACTTTCCATATGTCGGTTGGAATGCTGTCGCGGTTAAAAGATATGAGGTTGCAACCCAGGCAATTTCGTTCAATGCATTAAAATCGGTGCCTATCCTGTATAGCGAAGTTGCAATAATCGTTTGATCTAACGCAGCGAGAAAGATTGCGAGGCCAAGGCTGAGAATTGCATAATGGAAAGCGCACGAGAGAGCGGGCGATTAATAAGACCATTCATTAGTAAAAGTGTCTCATTTTTCCTCTTCTTATGGCTTGATACATCAGTTGTAATTGTTTCGACTTATTGATACTTACCCAACCATAACCCAGAACAACCGCCAACGTGTCAAGTGTACTACAGCTTCGCCCTGTCCTTTTAATTTCTCGACATCCCTCGATACCTCGAGATCATTTTGTTCGCCAACTGTTACGCCAGCGTCGTTTGTAGGAGATTTCTTTTCTGGTGAATTGGCAGACATTATCCTGATTAACAATGGAGAATTTAAAGTTAACGTTTGAACTTAAAAATCTTGAAAGCTTATTTTGATCGTTACAGTTTTACTAACCTGATATTATGGCGGTATGCCAAAAAAGCTGCTAAGCAGTCTCATTTTATACGGATCTTCAGATCATTCGGTTAACGAATCAAAAAATAAGGTTTCTGCGTTTCTTCAATCGGGTAAACTGCTACCGTCATAAACTAGTATTTGGGCACTTTTCATGCAGGTAGATTAACTTGATCCGGGTACAAATATTTGCTCGGAAATAATTTAACCGAATTCGAACAATACAATTACAATTGGTGGGGAACGGTAGATCGGACCCCTTTAACGTCCCCAATCAGTAAAAACAAAGAGAAGGCCACCTTCGAAAAAAGCTCGGTCTTAAGCATGTTGGCACGAAACGTTTAATGATTTTCTACAAGCCACATAGAAGACGTTCGGTAGGGTATGCTACATTATGAAATTATGTGTTAATCTTACATATCATTGTGTACAACGCTTGGGTGATGCAAATCTCCTTTGTGTTATATTATTTGCTTTTGCCAATAATTTGTATTTTGTTGCCAACAAAGTTATGTAGATCATCTTGTTTCCTCGTATTTCAAACACGTCTCGCCGGCACTGCATGAAAAGACGTATGGCGGGTGATAAAACATCTGCAGGAGTATAAAGATAAATGATCATAATAAAGATACGCTGATATACGGTTCTTAAAACTCGTTTTGCGCGTTCGAACAAAGCACCTCAACATTAAGAAATTAATTGCTTGTTTGATCGAATGAACAAATAACGTCAGCGGTGATGTCAGATGCCAGGGATAACAAATAATACTTTACCAAACACATCGTGGGTAAATTTGTTAGTCAATAGTTCACAGAAAAGTCTTTGTAATATATTGATAGTGATTTGTTCCTTTTTAGGTTGGGCGTTTTCCACCGAGCATTGCGGTATTATTTCAGTATAACAATGTTTTACGGCGGATTTGTTAATATGTTCAAATAGGTCGTAGAGGATTACCAGCTTTCATTATTGCCTCTAATTATTTCACAAGAGGATCAGCAATGGATGGGGTTATCCCTTGTAATGTTTTAAGGATTTCACAAATCTGGCGATTTACTCTATCGATACTATTAGAGCAAATAAGAGAAATTATAAAAATTGTGGAATCAAGACTTAGATGTACGAACTTCAAACGTTTTATCAAAGTAGTGTAATTTAATAAAAACCATCACTAATAAATTAAATATTAAGTTTTACAAGTAAAGTATAGTAGCTTCTAAAAGAAGCTCACACAGGCATTTACTAGTAATTGCAGAAATGTTTTAATTTGAAGAGTGCTTAGCTTTAGATTGCAAAAGACAATATTCTCCAAGCATAACAAACAGCGTAACCAAAACACAATCCATATTTAGTAAACATACAAATTATTGTTTAGTGGTTGCTTTGGGGATTATCAGAATAATTGCACGAGAAGGAAATTTTTCTATTTGTTGGTTTCCTGCGCAAATTAATTTCTTTACCTATGTGGAGTACCACAATCATGCGTTGTCATTAGTATTCAAAGTGACAAACAGCCATGTTGTAATCGTAGTTGTACAATACGTAAACAATTTTATTAATTTGGACAGAAGTGGTGTGTGGTACATGTAGTTAAGAATAGCAGTTCGATTAGATAGATAAGAAGCGCGACTTTCCGATATGTCCCTAAAGTGTTTGATCATGTTCCTGTTCATGTTTTTTTAATGTTTAATTACATTCCTTTCTGATAAGCAAGTAATTCTTTATACTCATGTGTCTCGAAAAAAATGGCGGTTTGCAAATAACTTTTTTTTTGTTCCATAAATAAAAAGTCTGCATTTATTTACAAAGCAAAAACAATTAACCTTCTATTGAGCGTGTTTGTATTAGCAAATTTGCTTTATCTCGTTACTGGTGAATTTATTATTTTTATTGTTATTGCCAGAATTAATTTAGAAGTTTGCCTTTGTACCATAGTTGAAATTTACGACAAACTATTTTACTATTTACACTTTGGCAAAATGGTATTCATTCAGCAAAAGAAATACTGATATTTCTCTACTTGCAGTAGTGAACAATCTTTGCAAGCTCAAAGATGCAACTTCATTGAGCGCAAAAAGGGTAGTGAATATCCATTAAAAAATCCAACAGTCCAGATCTTAATATTTGGTTTATTATGAAGAATAATGTTGAAAAAAGAATGCCCAAAAATGCTCAAGAACAGTACAAAATATTGTTTGTCCATGAAAGAAAATGTGAACTTTATTAATACAGTAACGTGCAAAAGTATCCTACCGGTTGTATCATCTAAACGTACATAATAATAACTCCTTAAATTTTCCA